ATGTTGTGTGTTTGATTATGAATTTTTTTGGGGGGTGGGGGTGGAAACGCCTAGAGAATAAATCGTATTTCTCAGAAAGATGTTTCTTATGTGTAACTTTTAATTTGCTTATAGAATTCAATTGTTGTTAGGTGAATGAATCTGTATAAATTTGAGTTCAAACTAAAAATCTGGTTAAATATCTTTACATTGACATATTGAGAATGATCGATTGATTACCTTACAGATATTATTAATTTTGTGATTGAAACCATTCAGTTAATTATGTGATGCGTGCTACTTATATTGATATAAGTAGTATATAACGCGAGTCACTAATGTAATATCTGGCAGCAGAAGATGAGGGGAAGATCAAGAAAGGAAGAGCGGGAATCGAAAGCAATTAGTATGAAAATGCAAGAACAATGAAGTTCGAGACAATTATTGAACATTTTGCAAATTAAGTATCATAGTATATTTTTTTCTATTTTACCAAGTTTGTAATTTTATGCAAAATACAATTCGGTTGTCCTCACATGTGTTCTCCTTCATTACACTTACAGTTAAAGGTGGGCTACTAAGCAAACTGTATAAATAGCATTATTGAAACCAATCAATTAGACTTTATTCGTTTTATGCAAACTGTTATATTCTAGTGAAGATTAAATTACGAGTAACTTCTGAGACCTATTAATGGGCTAATATTATATATATATATATATATATATATATATATATATATATATATATATATATATATATATATATATATATATATATATATATATATATATATAGTTATTGTATAACTGTTCAGTAATTAGATTGTGTATATCTATATTCCTCTTATTATGAGCTTCATTTTGATTTATAGATTATTGTGATACGATTTACTGTTCTTAAGTTATGTTCAGTTTATTGATTACTGTCTCCCACGTTTACAGATACATTCTGGCTTGACCTTGTGTAAATGTTATTTCCCATTTTATTGTGTGATGAGGTCTGTTTGGTTGGCAATAGAAACCAAGTATGTTTGAAATAAGTAATTCGCATGGTAGAAGTTGTTATTGGTGTTCTGGACTCAACTGGATGGGCTAGGCGAACGAGGGACCAATAAGGACTCCAGGCTGTTTATACCGGTCGAATGTCATTGGTTTGGTACAGTACTAAAATTCAATAAGTCGTATTTCGATTGGCGGATAAGTCACGTGATAACTAGCTGGGCTTATAGTCATAACACAGGGAAGAAGATAAGGACAGACCAGGATTAACTTCATTTTGATAAACTATTCAACTTTAATAATATTGAGAGAGTTCGAATTATGGCTCACTTAGATTCTAATTAGATTTCAATGAATTGACAGTATACTAGACATTATGCCTGTTGAATATTCTCTGCCAGCCTTCAAGTTGATCTATTTTCTACAAACACATCATGGATTTCACAAGCTTTATTGTCATTCACTATTGAAATTCAAAGGAAATTATGTAATAATCGGCTAGTGGAAAGTAATGAAGTGAAGATGATTACCTTCTTGACAGCTATTAAGAATAGAATGATTAAAAGTTGTAACAACTGCTAAATGATAGTTGTGAAACTAATTAGAAAGGAGTATAAGTAATGGAATATAAAACTAACAAACGACAGATTATGAAGGATAAAAAGGGAGGTTAAGACAATGGAAGAATAAGGGAATAAACGTCCTACTTTTTTACCCAAAGGTTAGGCTTGAGATAATGGTTAGCAATAGCCTCTGTTTTACATAAGTTTTCCATTTTCATTCCTACTGATCCACCTCTTCTAACTGTCTATATGATATTAAAGGAGATTTCTGGCGGAGTAAAGTAATTAAGCTTTTGATTGACTTCTGTAATCCTTTAGAAAGTCAGGTAGGGTAATGTTTGGAGATGCGTTTCGAAAACAGACTATTGTTTTAGTAAATAAAATTAACGGTAAATCCAACTGTACAGTTTAAGTAATTCTCCTTACTGAATTATGTTCTTTCTTATTCAGCGACACAACAGACCTCTTTTACTGTTGATGAATATGAATTATCTTGTATTTATTAAGTTCAATAATTTTCATTGTATTTACTGAATGTAGATAAAACTCGTGGATACGCGCTGCTGAGGAGCCCCATACTAGGACAAAATAGTCATCGATTGCTTCCAGGCTTTCCATGGTGGTCTAGCTTCAACTATTAAAAAACCTAATATGTCTAAAAATTGTTTGTGCAATCTCTTCTCAATCGTTATTATCTGTTTATGGTACTATCTGATTGTATCGGAAAAAAAATCTGAAGTTTTCAAGTTTTGAAACGGTCATGCGTTATTGGAGTTACATGAAGTTGCCAAACAATACTAAATCCGAGACTCAGAAGTGCGCCTCCATATTCTGGATCGTAGATGCTGACTACTGAGGAGTCCCATACTATGGCGAAACAACTATCCAGTAATTCAAGGTTTTCAATGATGGTCTAGCTTAAATCGACTCATAAATTCAGTTATTATAATTACTATAATCTCCACAAATCCGCAGACTTGAAAGCTGGAAAACAATTTGAATGAATCATTTCAACATCCAATATTGAATAAATTCTATTCTTCATTCAAATTGGATGAATTTCACAAGCTGAAAAATTTCACATGTAAAATGTTCACTTTTTAAGGATTAAACCGCATTTATCAAACGTAGAGAACCACTTAAGAGATCATCAAAAAAGTACAAGTATTTGTAAACAATTATCTACGCACGATACTCAATATCCGTTGGCCGGGTACAATCAGCTACAAGTTACTATGGGAAAGAACAAACCAGCTTCTATCTGAGGAGGAAATTGAGAAAAGACGTTGGAAATGGATAGAGCATACATTATGGAAATCAACAAACTGCATCATGAGGCAAGTACTTTGAGTCATGAAGGGAAACGGAAAAGAGGAAAGCCAAGTAACATAATGCGTCGCCAATCAGAAGTAGACATGAACAGGATGGATATGAACTGGAAAGAACCGGGAAACATTGTTGAGGATAAAGCTGAATAGAGAATGCTGGTGGACGACCTATGCTCATCGGCCATGGGTAACAGGCGTAAGTAAGTACATTTATGAATAAGTGTTGTTATGTAGAAATCAAAAGTCTTTATTCTATATTACACCAAGTAAAATAATTCCTGATTATAAAACACTATTATGTCTTACTACACTAGTTCACTTCTAATCATATTTTATGTATTGGCATCAAAACCAAAAACCTCAATGATGATGATTTGTTTTAATCAGAGCAAATGAAAGAACCATAAAGACTTGTTTACTTTAATAAACCATCTTAATCGTTACTTTGTATATCTTTACATTATTGTGAATGCTTAAGTAATTTATATCAATACACTATATGGAGCACTCCACGGCTTTGTGTGTCATTCTTGAACAGGAGTCATGCTAATCTTACCCTATCAATACATTATGCAAAATACAATCTGTAATACAGAATAAAATTAATCTGTTATATCCAAATGGATATAGTCGATTTGATGGATAAAGACATAACTGATTAAAGTGTAATTAACATAGGTAAGTTATTCTTGTACCATCATTTACAAGGAATAATCACATCTTTATAATGATTAATCATGCAATTCAATAAATTATTTAGATCCCTTGGTTATAGCTATTTAATTCTACTTATTCATATGACAACTTTCTTGGAATTTATTTGCTAAGTAACTAATTGCACACTGATTACTACTCATTATTCACTTCCAATTTTATCACAGTTTTTATTATTATTTTAATCCTTTTAATGATGAAATGAATAGTTTAGTAATTATTAAACGCCCTTATTACTTACTTACGACTGTTACTCCTTGTGAAAGAGCATAGGTTGCTCACCAGCATTTTCCAACCAATCCTGTCCTGGGCAATCCTTTCCATCTCCTTCAAGTTGTTATTCATCTTTTACATAACTGCATCTATTTCCCGACGTAATGTGTTCTTATCTTTAATAAATAGGTTTATTGATATTATTAAACGATCAAACTTAAATAACCATTTGAAACCTAAAGGTACTGAATAGTTATTACGTATTAGTATGAGATTCCTGAGAAATTCATGTCCACGAACTTAAAATCACAAGTTAAAACTAACATTTCCAGTCTCGTGTATGAACACTTCATCTCTAAACCACTCAGTTATCATTTAATGATATACAAGTTTAACTTTAATTGATCCATGATATTACTCGACCATCTTCTATTACCTCCGCTAGGTAAGTTCCTCAAACTCAACTATTCAATATTCAATAGATAAATAAAACAGAATTGTAATTTTGTACTTATTTTATAATCTATACTTAAACATCATTTAAAATAATCATTCTCTTCTTATTAATGAACAATTGAATTCATTACTATTTTTGTCTTAAAACCTTGCTCAAATCAAGTTCGTAACTTAAATGATAGAAAAAGATAAAACAACGAGATTATAATTTATAGACGAATCAATCAGATATAAGATAATAGATCTTGGATTTTGACACGAAATTCATTCGTTCATCAATAGCCAAGTAGACTTTTGGCATTATAATTGAAAAAACCCTAAATCCGATTGCTAACTTTAAGCATTAACGATAAATCATAATCCTTATTCTTCAAACTACTTTATAACCCTCATTTAGTCCTAGTTATTAGGCGAACATTCAAAGGTCGTCCATAAATTATAATCCCATTGATAAAACTTACTCGCGCCTGGCGCGAGACTGATGGGTCCTGGGTTCGAATCCCGCGGGACAGGGTCCTGGATGCGCACTACTGAGGAGTCTAACAAAAGAACGAAGCGGCCATCCAGTGCTCCTAGGTTTTCCATGATGGTCTAGCTTCAATTGACTCATGATCTCAACTCTTGAAATTATTACAATCTCCATAAAACCCCTTCTGATACTAAAAAAATCTTTATTTTTTTTATGATTATTGCATTTTTCGATCAATATATTTTCATTCATTCTTTTTTTTGTATGTTTTATTTTTCATGGTTCATCAAAATCACAGCAACAACATCAACAACAACAACAACAAAAGGGTAGAGTGACATAAGTTACTTTACAAAAATCATTTGTTGATCATTATCATTTCCTTGATTATTATTATTGTTATTATTATTCATTGTACGTGTAAGGTAAGATGATGCTGCTGCTGCTGATGATGATGATGAGGATGATGATGGACGATCATATGAAAATGGTAATGAATTTGATTTCAGATGATGCATATTACTTAGTAACTGATTATTATCATTACCATTATTATTATTGTCAATATCGATTTCTTCATGATTTCGATTAAATTCACATGCAATTCCATAATAATTATCAGGACATAAACAATAACATTTTTTCCATGGCATATCTGGTTTTTCTAATTTACCATAATTTAAACAATATGGTGCACATTGTCTAATTAAATAATGGATAATTTTAAATAATTTTTTATGTCGATTAGGATAAATTAATAAATCATTGACAGTAGTACATTTTATATCATTTATATTGAATATAAATATATAAATAATAATAAATAATAAGAATAAATGAATAAATAGAATATTTTTTGTCATTTTTTTTTAATCTTTCTTGTGTAATCACTAAGGTCAAATGTGATTGATCTTGTTGCTATGGTAACTTGTAAAATTGTTATAAGGAATAATCTCCAATAAATATTATGAATAATGATGAATTATAATGAGTAGTAATAATAGAACATACTTACTGATTATATTCAATTATGTTTTCATTCAAATTTTTATGAGTTGAATATTTATACTAAATAATCTTTGTTTGTTTTTTTTCTTTCTTCTTCTTCTTGTTCTTCCTTTATATATATTAGATAGGTGGGGAGTTTTGAATAATAAGGATAATGATAATCATGATCATTCGATTGGTTCAATGATTATTATCAATGAACATGGAATAGATAAATATTATGGGGAAGGGAAATATGATTCAATATGTTTTTACTTTAATAAAATAAAAACAGTAAATAATAATAATAATAATAATAATAATAATAATAATGATAAATGCCAACGATATAATTTTCATACTGATTATTGTTATTGTTTGTTTCATTAAATAAGTTTTAATATCAAAGGGGTTTTGTAGAGATTGTAGTAATTTCAATGGTTATGATCATGAGTCAATTGAAGCTAAACCATCATGGAAAACCTGGAAACACTGGACGACCATTTCGTCCTATTGCGCACTGCTGAAGAGTCCTACAATAAGATGAAACGGCCTTCCAGTGTTTTCAGGTTTTCCATGGTAGTCTAGCTTCAATTGACTCATGATCTTAACGATTGAAATAATTTTTAATTATTAATATAAATAAATAAATATTAAATATCAGACATGGGTTTTTGTGGAGATTATAGTCATTTCAATGATTGAATTCATGAGTTAATTGAGGTGAGATTACCATGGAAAATCTGATAGCATTGAACAATTGTTTCATTGTAGTATGGGATTTGGCAACAGTGTATATCAACGATCAAGTATCGTGAAATTCGAACCCAGGATTTACCAATCTTGCGAGAGAACGATGGTCCAGTGCTTCCAGATTTTTCATGGTAGTCTAGATTCAATGGACTGATGAATTCAATTATTAAATTACTATAATCTCCGTAAAACCCCTTCTGATATTATTCAAGAGGTATTTCTCGGAGTTCTAGTGAGAAGTCATCACTAATGAAGTTCAACCATGTCTTTTGTGAAGTAGTAACTCATTGAAGACAATGGTGGATGTGTAACTCAATTTCGTGGATTACTTGAAGTTAGAAATTAACATCGCTGGATACCAGTTGTCTCAGTGGTCTAAAAGTTAAGCGTTGGCACACGAGACTGATAGGTCTTGGATTCGAACCTCATGAGGCGGGATCGTGAATGCGCACTGCTGAGGTATCCCACAATAGGCTGTTCAGTACTTTCCGATTTTCCATGGTGATCTAGCTTCATTTGACTCATGAATTGGATTATCAAATATTAATTTTATTTATAGTATTCGCTCAATTCATGATCGATAAAATTCTAATTAAAAGAACCTTATATATATTTATATACATTAAAATGGGTCTGATATTTTGTGTTGAGTATATCCATTAAATTTTCTTTTATTAAACCGTAATGATAAATTGTGATTGTTATGAATTTGCTTATCAAATTGTTTCCGAGTGGTTTCCTTTTCTTGTTATTGTTGTTGTTGTTGAGGAAATACACTGTAGGCAATCACAGTCTGGATTATTTTTTATATTGTATTGTTCTAAATGAAGCATCTGTTTGTTTGTTTTCATCATATGTATATAGAGAGATTGTATTATTAATTTTAATAGTTGAATTCATTAGTCCATTGTAGATGTACATTGTTGAGGAATTCGATACTAGGACGAAATGACCATCCAGTGCTACAAGGTTTTCAATCATGGTCTACCTTAGATTGACTCATGAATTTAATCTATAAAATTTTTTTATAGTCTTTTTAAATCCATCTACATTAATAGTAATCACATATGCTCACTAGTGACTATTTTAAAGACTTAGTTTGTTGTCATGGGATGAGTATTGGGATAGTTGGAAGTATTTTTCAAACTATTATTACTCAATATTTTCATTGTATAATTAGTAGATAAGTGTAATTTTTACTTTCTATATTCCAATAGCCTTCTGTGGGAGAGAACAAACCAACTTCCAGCTGAAGAAGAAATTAGGAAAAGACGATGGAAATGGATAAGACATACATTACGCAAATCGTCAAACTGCATCACGAGGCAAGCCCTAACTTGGAATCCTAAAGGGAAGCGGAAAAGAGGAAGGCCAAAGAACACATTGCGTCGGATAATAGAAGCAGATATGAAAACGATGAATTACAACTGGACGGAGCTAGAAAGGATTGCCCAGGACAAGGTTGGATGGAGAATGCTGGTGAGCGGCCTATGCTCCTTCACGAGGAGTAACAGGCGTAAGTAAGTAAAGTTCTAGTGGACCTATCAATCATTGTTATATACTTTATTATTCCTTAGTTATTGATAATGAATTATATACTGTTTACTCCACCCTCTAACAACTATGTATATAATCTATTTATGATTTGTTGTTTGGTGTACTGTGTAGTCAAATATACAATTCCATGCATTTTGAGTCATAGCTAAGCTGAATACAATTGAGAACTGGTTTAAATCATATCTGAGTATTCTGATTGGCTTATGGATTACAGCTGATCGAGGACCAATAAATAATAACATTTTAGGTGTTATTTATTTGTCAAGGTGACAAATAATAAATAGATCATCGGTACTACTAGCAATACAACTTGTGATATCAATTAGAATTCCCCCAAAAATAATACAACTCCATGAGTTCTAGTAAAAAGTCGTGATCAGTGATGTTCATTGATGTCGTTGACAGTAGGCAGTGAAAAATAGCCACGTAATATCATCAATTAATTTACGTTAAATATAAATTCCGGTTCAATGGTCTACAGACGAAGCGTTCGAGCGCGAGTTCGAAGGCTCCTGGTTCGATTCCCTGCGACACAAGCTTTACAATAATGAGTATGATTAAGATCAGTTTAAGCTATAAAAATCCTAAAAGGAAGGGTGTATATGATGATTTATCGAATTATGTCTGAGAATGATTATAAAGTAATTAGGTCATAAGTTGGCCAATGTAAAATAAACATATGTCACATGCTATAATTTCTAAAAAAATGTATCTTGCCTTAAACCTGGTTAACTTTGCAGTCAGTAGGATTTTTTAAACCCTAATTTTTGATTTTAATGGTTCAGATCATGAATCATGTAAAGCTAGACCACTATGAAAAATCTGGAAGCACTGGACGGCTGTTTCATCCCATCATCGGACTCCTCAGCAGTACGTATCAACGTCTCAGCCTCGTGAGATTCGAATCCAGAAACTATCGGTCTCGTATGCGAACGCTTAACTTTTACACCACTAAATTGGCCGACATCCAACGGTGTTAAAGTCTAACTTCAACTAATTTAACTATAATCGTTTAATGTTTAGGAATCTAAACCTAAGAATCTAATCTTATGATTACCTGATTCCTACAAGAATGTACATGGATATACTGATTGAATTACATGAACCTCATAAGGAAAAAAACAAAGTTGATTATGTTTATTGTTTTCTGTTATTACAAAGAGTAAAACTATGGATACAAACTTTTAGATACACTAATTCCTTATTGATTAACACTTGATTCAATGAATCACTATATATCTAGTGACTTCATTTTGTTTAAGTTGGATGATGTTTGGATTGGTAAGTCTGATGTGAATCTAATGTTTTTCATTGTAAACTTGATATAATGAATATAATCATATAGTCTTAATTGAGATCATGAACCGATCAATGTTAGATTATTATTGAAAACGTGGAAGTACTGAACGAACCGTTTCATCTTTGTATGGGACTCTTCAACAGTGTGTATCCATGATCTTAATTAAAACTTAACAATCTCCACAACTCTACAATAATAATCATATAGTTTCATTCAATTGATTAATTTTGATTGATTTTATTTTTGTAATAATTATTCCTCATAATTGACAAAAAAACCCTTCTGATATTAATCAATATATGCTCACTAGTGACTGATTTCAAGAGGTATTTCCTAGAGATCTAGTGAAAAACAGTAACCAGTGGAGTTCAACCAAGTCTGTTGTGAGATAGTAACTCATTGAAGACAATGGTGGACGGTGGATCAGTTTCACAGATTGATTGAAGTTAGACATTACCATCGTTGGATACCAGCCGACTCAGTGGTCTAGAGGTTAAGCGCTCGCGCACAAGACTGATAGGTCTTGGGTTCGAACCTTACGAGGTGAGACCATGGGTGCTCACTGCTGAGGAGTCCGATACTAGAACAAAACGGTCCTCGAGTGCTTCCAGTTTTTCCATGGTGATCTAGCTTCAATTAACTGGTGATCTCAAGAGTGCAAACCATAAGTCTCACTTCAAAGAGTGAAATCAACAAACTTCAAGTTTTCATACGAATAGTTTACTTCTGAATTATTATTCTATTTTACATATTTTGATATCTAGTCATTATGTATTTTGTCTTATGCCTAATATGACTGAACTCTATTAGTAATTAACTTTTAAAAGAAGTCCGAAAATGGTGGGAAAGAAAATCAGGTTCAGATTATGTAAGAAGAATTAGTCTATAAACTCATGGGTGGAGATTTGTAGAGATTGTAGTGATTATGATCACTAAATTCATGAATCCAATTAAGCTAGATCATTCTCCAATGGTTTAACTTAGATCGACTAATCAATTCAATGTTTTTATTCCATCAATATAGTAGATAAAATAATATTAACCGAAAACGGAAAACAAAGAACCTACTTGAGATAGTGAAGAAGATTTGTAGCTCAGGTGGATGATTTGGATGGAGCTTTGTTCTCCGAATTGATTGGTTTGGACGTAGAGTTTTCATCGTTCTTCTGAATGACATCACATCAGCACAAACTTCAAGTAGAAGCGAAGTGTTCGAATTTCTTCACATGTGACTCACAACTTGTTCTAATGACCTCGATCTTGATTAGTTCTTGTTGACCTTAAACCAGTAATTGTTCACTTCTACGCTTTGGTTGTATCTCCCTACGACTATCGAAGTCTACAGGACAATTTATGAACCATATGTGAAGAAATTCGAACACTTCGAGTCTACATGAAGTTTGTGCCCATGTGATGTC